AAGACCACTCACCCAGGTAACACAACAAGGAAATTAAAAAATATTGCCATATAACGACCTTTTACGCTTTGCATGACCAACATTCGAAATCTCAATTTCAGACCCTACATTAGGAAGAAACACTCTCTAGTCTCTAAAACAAACTTCAACGTCCAATTTAATGAAAAATAAATGCTTAGGTACCCAAAACCACGGGCGTTTGTATTTAAGGACTGTGCTTCCTCTTGAAGAAGGAACATTGGCATATAGCGTCTTGGACAGAGTCGATCTCTGACGCTACAGTGTTGGACTTGAAGCAGGGCAGTAACCACATGATTTTTTTTTAATTGCCGACGAAGCGGCACGGTTTGCAGAACTTACAGAGGGAGCCTAAAATGCATGAAAACGAAATATTAAAACTCACACTCCTATCTTGCCCTACCATCTACCAGTACATCGCCTACGGTATCAGGTCCTTCACCATTCCTGATGACCTTCTACCAAAGTGCACGGGTAGTATGAGACGACGAGGAGATAGAGGTTGTGCTGCAAAACACTTATCAGCGCCTGTTGGACATAGGTTGGGAATCTAGTAGAATGAAAGTCGCAGTTGACAGTACCTTCTGTATGATACACATATACAACATACAAACTTTCGGGTTGGTGATCCTCAAGCCCCAGTAGGTGTTTTTTGTTGCATGAAACTCTCCTCCAGGAAAGAAATTGTTTCCTACTGAGCAGAAGAGCTTCCTATAGTTTTGTGTCGACAGTCTTTATTCGGTTTTCCTTATTCTCTTCGAGCCTGTCTACTATACTGGACAGCATTTTACGAATGTGGGATGTTGCACAGTGTATAGGATTGAAAACGTTACCCCGACTTTGGTTGCCCCTAGGGAATGCAATACCGGGATCGCGTGATCCGCGGGACCCCGAAATACCGGGATCCCGCAGCATTTTTGCGGGATTAATCCCGCACATAAATGGAGCGGGATCCCGCGGGATTTGCGGGACTGAGGAATTTGTCGACCAAGGGGACGACTCTGTTTACTCTGTTAATGAAACGCATAACGGAGAAGTTATTTTTTAAATAATTGTTAAACTTTTTTCGTTAAAAACGTACTATGATTTTTGAGGCACTTTAGAAGTTCACCTTTTTGTACTTTACAGGTGAGGTTTTTTTTAGTTCTAAGGTAGGCTGAAGGTACTTTTTTGTTAAATATTGTGATAATTAGCGATTTATTTTAATACAGGAGTTAACCGCACAAAATTAATTATTTGCCAATTTATTTAAAATTTTGCGGGATCCCGCAAATACCGGGATCCCGCGAGATTAACATCTAACAATCCCGCAAATACCGGGATTGAGATTTTGCTGCGGGATTGCATTCCCTAGTTGCCCCAATGATGTTGATTTTACTTACTGACCCGTTGACTTGTAGTAGCGCTTTATTTTTATTTTTCCTAGCGCGGCCGGATCGAAAGAGAGAAGATAGCGGCTTCACGAGTAAAAAGTAGACAATTAATTTTTTATTTACTGAAAATAATATCGTTCAAATGATGCATGTTATAAGCGATACAATTATCCAGGCGTTTTTCAAAATTTTCAAAAACTTTGTTTTGGAAATTTCTTCTTCAATATTAATCCGTAATTCGTCGAGTGTTCGAGGTTTAGTAACGATGTAACGTACACCCTCTGCTTCAAATATCTCCACAGGAAGAAGTCGCATACGGATAAATCCCGCGAACTTGGCGCCCAGGAAAATTCAGTTTGCGGTTACCAAATGTTTTTCGCAAGAAGTTCAACGTTGTTTTCGACGTATGTCATGTGGCACCATCTTGTTGAAAAAAAGTGCGGCTTAGTTTCCGTCTATGCTTCAATAGCTTCATAGCCACATAGAGCTCCGAGTTGATAATTCGCTCGAAAAGTAAGGCCCGACTATTCCCCACTCGGTTCACCGTTCGTGGTAACCCTGGTGGCTTCTTTTTCATGACCGAAACCGAGCCCGAAACCGCCTCTCGAATGTTTTGAATCCATAAGACCATAATTTCACCCTATTACGCAATGGTACGATTACATTTAGCGTGAAACTCTTCAATAGTCTGTGCTATAAAAAAACGCTCAGAAATGAACGCGCGCTGTTTCGGTGACCACTTCTCCATTTTGACACGGAACTACTAAATAAAAATAAACCTTCAACCGTCCATTTTACTCTCCCGGAAGCACAAACCTCTCCGTTTCGATACGGTCGCACTAGAGGTCGCTAAAATGTGTCAGGTTCCTCTGTTCAACCTTGTATATTAAAAAAAGCAGTCAAACGTCAAAAATTTTGAAAAATATTGAATAACTTAAAAACCTTTGATGCTGGGTTTAGGAAAATGTGGTATCAAACGGCGTAGATTTTCATGTACATTTCGAAAATATGTTCTTTCGATAGATCATGAAAAACTATGTTGGTATGCAAATGTTTAGATTGAAATTATTAATGGAAGCCTAAATATTTTTAGGTAACGATTTGCGTGAAACAGCCTGTATATACCCGTTATGTATTATGTGGTAAATAAATAATGTAGTATATCGATATATCCAAAATTGAATTGGGGTAAATTTATGATAAGAATATTTGGGAACGTTGTGGTCAGATAAAGCGCCAATTTTATATATCTCCTCAAGATCAAAATCGATACGTTACCTGAATTAAACCATTATATAAATAAATACAAGATCTGCTTTGTTTATGATGCAAACGTTATACGTTATATGAACATGTAGGTGATACGACGCTGGTTTCCGCAATATTTATCGAAACGAAGAGACGACGACAAAGGCAGAATATGCCCTCCAATTTGCATCTATTTCACAGCAATCTTCGCTTTGAATCGCAAATGCTCTATATAGATAATATCCGCAGGTTAACAACAAAAGCATTCCATATAATGGCGATTCTCTTCGTACATGAATTGGAAGTAGGTGAACGTAAATACCTCTTCTAAACTGGTCGATTCGCGTAGAAAATTGTTTCTATTCGTTAATGAATTGTTGATGTGTATGGAAAATACTCTTGGAACAATATTTAGCACTTTTGCCACTAAATATAACTAACTAGGCGCTACATAAAAATATACGTCAAGCGCGCCTTGCCTGCATCAAGGATCTCCCTCATGAATGTGAACGAATGCGCGCACACGTTCTCGTCTAGTTGCAAATTTTTATATACTTGGTAATTCAAAAATATATACAGGCCGATTCAAATTCGAGGGCCACCATGGGGATCTCGGGAACTGTAAGAGATAGATAGGTAGTTTAAATTTGGCAAAGTTGCGTATTTTGATGCTTAACAAAATGCAGATTTGACACTTACAAAATTCCGATTACTTTCCGAGATATCCGGAAAACACCGAAATTTTGCAAAATCCTTTTTATTTTTTACTGAAGTTATTTAATAAGATATTTCGAAATAAATAACACATTATTATGGCCACTTTTTTCTCTCTACAAGATGCTAGTTTCAAATTTTAAATCCGACGTTTCGTCTCCGGTTGACCATCATCAACTTTGTTTTTTCTTATGGAAGTAATTTTTACATTTTGTGTAATTTGATGGAGTTTCAGTGCCGTAAGAAGGAATCTCTCTCTGCCAGGCATTTTCCAGGATCCTCAACGCTTCCCCATTCTATTGGTCGGTGCGCGCATTTAAACTTCACGTAGGGGTAGTAGGGGGCAGGTATACGTGTTTTAATCCCCAGAAACCCCGAGAGACGCGCTGCTCAGGGTTTCCTGGCCCTCTTCAGGCAGAGAACGGGAATGTAAGGTTGGGTAAAGTTAAGGATGGGAACGGAAGGAACAGCGTTAGGTTGCTGAAAGGGAAGAGTACTGCTCCAGCACAGCGACGGCGTCAGTGTTCAACAAATTGATACCAATATTCTTATTATGGGCATCAGCATTTCAGGTTTCACAGCAAATAAAAAGCAAGTAAGTACACCGACAGAGTACCTTTGAAAGTCGATCTAACAATCGAGTTTGATCTTTTTCCTAAAAAAAATAGGGCATAAACAAAGATTTACACCGATTTTGGACAGTAAGGTGATGGGTGCCAACGTTAATTTTTGATAGTTTCACAATGTAAGCTTTCTTATAGCGAAGTCGATAGGTACAGTAGAAACAATAAACATACATAACACATATGAATTATCAAACTCTAATCTGGAAGGAGAGTATAATATTCTTTCGAAAACAAATAATTGTTGTATCATTGAATCTTGGAAGGCAAGCATTGCGCGGTGTCGAAAATATGTGCTGGTTGACACATTAATGATTAAGATAAAGGTGTCGTTAGCCGGCATTTCGACAAGTATTAATTTTCCGGCTTCGGTAACTTCACGTACCAAAAGGACCAACCAATACGAGAAGGAGGGGAGGGAGTGGAAGATAGTTTTGCGGTTTTTTGGCTATATCTCGAAAATTGTGGATTTTATGAAAAAAAATCAAGCTCATAAAATTTTCTACAACTAGTTTCGATACACTTTCTAAAAAATGCATCTTTATCCAGCTACGGGCTCTTAAAGATGAGATATTTAAAAAAAACCAATGACAGGAGCGGCCGGAAAAGTGGCAGGTGCGACCGGAAAAGTGACAGGTGCGGCCGGAAAAGTGACAGGTGCGGCCGGAAAAGGACAGGAGCGGCCGGAAAAATAACAGGCGGCATGAAAAGTAGTCTGGTAAAGTTTTACCACCGTTGGAATGGAAACTAACATTTCCTGTAATAAAGTAGGCATGGAAATGAAGGTCTCTCTGGCGATTTCGGGAAATAATCTTTATATCGAATAAGTACGTACACAAGTTGGAGTATTGTTTGTTAACTATTCAATTATTTCGATATCGGCATCAGCAAAAATCCGGTGAAATTAACACGGAAAACAAATTAGTTCTCGTTACGGTAAATTAATTTGTGGCCAATTCGGGACGCCTCATTCGACAACGCCCCACAAGCCGTCGCGACGCATGACAGTAGACCACCGCTGCGCCGTTCCGATCGATTAGTAACGCTCAAAGCGCTCCAAACGTCTTTTTGCATAGAATTTTTATGTTTGTAGTCAAGTGTTTTCTTGTTTTTCACTAATTTTGTAATCTGCTTAATGCAAACTTTAGTTTAACAACACTTTATCTCGAGCATAGTCAGCAACATATTATTTTACAAGGTAAACGTAATCTTACCTATACCATATTTTCACTTACTTTCATTTTAATCTAGATCGTATCCTTATTTTAGTGGCGTAGTTGTGCATGAATATTGTACGTTAGAAGAACATATTACTTATTGTGTGTTTATTACCCACAAATAATACTTCGAAGAACATCGGTAACAATGGGAAAACGTCTTCAAACTGTTGCTGCTATGGCATGCATGAAGAGTTTGTTAATGATATTTAATTTCGTATTTTGGGTAAGAATAAAACTTTAGACTCTTTCCGTACACTGCATGTGTGACGTCACGAAAAATCTAATGTTACTTTCAAAAATCTTACAATCTCATAAAAATAAAAACCGCTCAAAATTGATTTTGTTTTTTTAGATATCCGGTATAGCGATTTTAGCAATTGGCATTTGGATGGAAGTAGAGCTGTACAAATATATGGAAATAAGTACCGAATTTTCGGGTACCGCACCATATGTTTTAATTGGAACCGGTGCACTTATTATTCTAATTGGATCGCTAGCTTGCTGCTGCACGGTTAAAGGGCAATCTGTCCTTTTGTACGTTGTAAGAATTTTTATAAAAATTTTATCGTCAGCGCCAATACATCCGTTTACCTTTGCAGTACGGCGGATTTTTGGCAATTATACTTGTAATGGAATTAGGCGCCGGAATATCCATCTTTGCGTATCGATCCAAGTTAACAGCTGGATTTGATACTGGATTAAATCAAAGTTTGATTAATTATCGATCCGATTCTGCGGTGAAATCTGCGGACATTGACGCAATACAGAGAGCTGTAAGTGCACATTTTCTTATTCGGCGATCAATCACATTTTTTTGGAGACGCATTGACCTACTGTTAAATGAATTTAGCAATTTAATATTGTAATAGAATAGGATTAGGTTAATTTAGAAATGAATATCATTTCAGTTGCATTGCTGTGGTAACCACCGTTACATTGACTGGCTGGAGATAAACCCTCCAGTACCCCAATCTTGCTGCAAGGCTGAAAGCTGCGATACATCAATCGAAGATGAAATATATCGCTTGGTAATTATCCACAGGGAAATATTTGAATGATTGCAAAGGGACCGATTGCCATCTAATTATTGCACGATGCAATGGTGATGGTACCTTTCACTATCATTGGTCATTTGTGTAAATTAAGACATCTTCCTTTTGTAGAATCATTTGGAAAACTACGCTATACTTGATTATTTTTTAGGGATGTTACGACAAGGTGATCGATTTTCTGAATGCCAACATTGGAATCGTTGCTGGGGCAGCCATTGGAATTGGTTTCTTTCCCCTACTGGGTGTGGTATTGTCTTGCTGTCTGGCTAGTACAATTAATAAAGCCAAATATGAGCAGATGGCATAAAATTTACACATTTTCTAAACGTGAATAAAATATGGACCTATTTTACAATTTTCTGGATGTTGTTAAATTTTAAAATGTATATAAGTCAATTTTCCGTGATACGAGGAAATATTAAACTCTGTAACTCAAACAATGAAGTATCTACACACAACGTATAATATTACAATCTATTTTTAATGTTGGAAACTATATAAGGTGTCTCGTTTTTAATGTTGTCTTTACACATGCCATCTGCAGTTTTGGCGGTTAATGGTAGGTTAAGTAAATGTGCAGCAAATGAAAAGTTGATATATTGACACGGCTAAAACATATTCTGAATGTATGATTGTACGACCATCTTGGAGAAACTGTCAGTAAGCCAACAAATCATTGATTCGCTGACAAATAGAGCAGTCGTCTATAGTTTTGAAAAGCATGATAAATTGGGTTCCCATGTGTCACAGAACACACCAACTTTTGGCGGAATGTAAATTACTACTACACACGTAGTACCTCCTTTTGGTGCACATTTAATTGACCTAAGGATATAACAACACAATTTCACTTCTTCGAAAAGACTGAACTGTGCACTCAGTTAAAAGTAAAAGCTTAATATTTATGTTTTTTGTATGTTTCCTACTTCCATAACAACTCAAATACCTATTAGAAAATATTGCCTTCTGGGCGAAAACTACAAACGAAGATCCTGAAAAGTATTGCATTTTTCGTACAAAAAAATTGTATTGCTTTGAAACCTGTAAGTATACTTATCTATACGTTACACCTGCTAATAAAATTTTATTATATTTAAGTTTGGGTCTTTTATTTTTAGCGGTCCATTGAAAACGAATCCGGCATTAATTTCATTTTGGTCTACGCCTCTGTTTGTTACATGATAATTAATTAATTTCTTTACGTCTGAACATAGAACATTTTTTGCTCCATGGTCTGAACCAGAGTCTGCTATAACTACAAGCCGTCGCCTGCCATTGCTGACGTCACGAAAGAAGCCGATTGATCTCAAATCAACTTCAAACTGAAAATTCCCGCACGAGCGCCCATCGTTACCTGTCTCAGGGGCGAGATTCTGCTAACAAAAACACTTCGGTTTAGAATCTATGTGTGATGCTGCGAGTTGTGATTCACTCATTTCCACATGTTCCGTGATTTAAACGGTCTCCAAGGCCGTGTAATTTTCCATGTTGCTTTTAACAAAATGGTTTTATAGCACCAAAGATGTGTCACCTGTTGTACAGCTACTTTGTTTTGTTACCTCCTTATAACCCAACCCGTTCTTTGTTTTGCGGCTTGTTTCTAATCTGTTTTTTACATCATGTTTTGTGGATGTGATTTATATTTATCATGCTTTTATTATCAATGAATTGCAACAAATTATCTTACATCTGGACAACATTTTTATTATAGCTCATTCGAGATTCGAGATATTATAAAATAACTGATCAAAATAGCCATTCCGGTAACCAGTTTTAAACGTTGCCGGGTTCACTTTATTTTCGTGTTACTGTAGTGTGAACCTGTGGGATTAAGTTACAATTAACAACAGTATTAGCGAACCAGATTAACACTAGAGGCGCGAGTGTAGTTTACCAATGGCGTTAGGCGTATGTAGTTGGGAGTTTTTTTTGTAAACATAGGCTTTTACCAGCAGGTTTTTAAGTGAAATTCTACTAATTTTAAAGAGATTTGGGTTTATCATGTCGTTTGTGCGACTTGAAAATATGACCCCTTAATTCTATATCCTACCTGAAAGGCCTTTTTCTTAAAACTCGAAGCTTAAACACAATTAACTTAATTTTCTAATTACAAATTTTAAAAATCACAACTTATCATTCAAAAGCTCTGACGCACTCATCCAACTGCCCGAACCCGGATTCGAACCAGGGACTAATAACTACGAGCAGAGCCACCCAACATTCAAGTTGTAAACACGTTGTAACTTGTAACGACGGACACTTCGCGGCACATTTAAAGGGAACCAGGGAAACCAATTCTAATCAAACCATTTCATCAATTCAAAATCATGCAACTACTGCCACAAAATTCAAAGAGAAAATAACGAGGAAAACAACAAGTACAATATCTCAAATTATACGATAAAAATCAGATAATCAAATATAGTTCAACAAATTCATAAAAACAAAACACAAAAAACATAATAAATGCAATGGAAAACATCATAAATCAATTTAGTAGAATAACTCATTGAGATAAATCAATGCGTAAAATGATACATTGCACACACATAAAAACATATATAAGTATGCATAAAAAGCATCAAAACGGGAGCACTCCAGCCTCGGCTGCCATAATTTAGGACAAAACTACATGAGAGAAGACCAATAGTACCTAACCTATGCCAAACCACATTACATAATAGGGGAAAGGCATTGAATAAGCACCTTAATTCAATTGGAAAGGTTAATTAGAGGACCCCTTCTTCGTTTTGCTAAGGTAGAAAAGCTGCGGTCTGCATGAGATTGAAAAAGCAACAGATACCGCGAATAATCGAACTATATGAAGTACTTCACGGAATATACCTATATATAAAGTTATATACAGAAAAACGTCATTTTCGAAGACCCCCCCCCCTGCCCGTATATTTTTAAACGCAAGAGCTCATCAAGCAACAAGTACTGTACAGTATAACAAACATTTATGCAAAATGTAAATAATAAAAATAGTTAATCCAAGAAAGAATAAAATGATTATACTAGACCTGTAAATACACTTTCAAAACACAAAAAAAAACAAAATAAACGCTAGACCCGCCACTACTCAAAAACAGCTCCGAATTCGAATCGCTAACGTTCTCCCGCATCTGCGCAGAACGGTCACAGTCGAACGTTTCATGAGTATTTTAATCTGTGGTTTCATGGTTGTTGTACGAGTTATACAGAGCGTTTCATATTTTATTGCCATACTGCCATTTTTTCAATTGTGAGGTGTGTTGCCTAACCGTAGGGGTATGTTACAACAAGTCAGTGACTCTTGACTGCCGGCAGTGCTGTTTTACGAAATCTCGTTTTAAATTTATCTTATTCGTTGCGTAATCGCATTGATCGCATTTAGTATCTTTGGATGTGGAGTGTGTTAAAAGATTAAAACGGCCTTACCATCCGTGTCATAATTATGCATTGACCATAAACAATATTTTTCGTTGTGTTGTGCTTTAATAAACGACGATTTAAATTTTTCCTACTATATTTCTGGCATAATTTTATGTTTTAAGATGTCTCTTTAAGTTATGCTTATCGTGAGTACGATAATTACATTGATCACGAATCAAATTTTTGAGAAGGTTGTGTGTTAAAAGGTGACACTTGAAGCGAAAGTTATTAATTGCAGGTGAAGTTTTTCAAAGTGGAGTGTGTCAAAGAATGGCGTCGTACATATATATCTCCTATTTTTTGTTGTATAATTGCACTGTTCACAATTAAAGACTTTGGAAATGTTATGCCTGAGACGATGATTCTTTAAATTATCCTTATTGTTAATTCCATAATTCCACTGATCACAAAACATTTGGAAAGATGTCGTCTTAAATGAAATCTAAGTACTATACTATAAGATCATGGCCTAATAAGAGTATGGTCTGCTATTCCCGTGAACGAATTCTCGCATAAGTCGCGCATGACGTCACACGGATGTATACACTGAAATATTTTACGCGCGCATGAATAAATATGTGGTAAATATTTCGCTATTCCATTGCATGTGTGATTAATACGATTAGATAGCTATATTACTTTATTACAATGGCCCATTGTGAGGTGTATGGTTGCAATAATAACAGTAGAAAAACTAAATATAAGTTATTATAGATTTCCAAAACGTTACCTTTCCAGCGGGGTATAATTGTATCTGTATCTGGTTGATGGTTACATCTTCACTCAACGATCTAACCGATCGTTAATAGATTTGTATAACGACCTAAGAAATAGGTTGATACGATATGGAGTATGTTTTGAATCCAAGATTTGTTGGAAAACCTGTTTTCATATGTTCATACTATAGGAGAACCACATGAGAATCTTTAATTCGCCTGGAGACTTCGAATGCAGATTAAAATTATATTAGGAAAACATTCCGATGCCGTTTGTGTAAATAAAAAAAAATACCTTCCAAACGGCCGGCGAAAGCTGCTTCAACACACATTCATAAAGAAGGTTCGCTTTATATGACTGCTTACGTTGCATACAAATTAAAAACGAAATACCGATTCATAGGCGAAATACCGATTCATAGGCGAAATCGCCGAATTTTAAATAGGCGAAAATTGGATTAATTTTATATCTGAAGGTAATTTAAAAAAGCCAACAATTTTTTTTACTGTTACCACAGAAAAAATAAATAAAAAATGAGAAGCTACGGAACTTTCGCAGAAAGACGAAAAATTAGTAACCAAGGAAAAACCTCATGTCTGAATTAATGTTTTGTACATATTTTAGATTTTACACTAAATCAATGATTTTCTACTTTGTTTTTGTAATACAACACAGTGTGTTACGTAGATATATGCAGATATGCTCTAGTCAGGTGTAAGCACTTTATGAATGAAGCTTTCTTACTTGTTCTTATGGACTTGCCGGTACCAGTTCGTTTTACAACCGCGTGACGTCACATCAACGTCAGCCGACTAATGCATTATGCGCAATAGCAGACCATACTCTTATTAGGCCAAGATGACTTTCTAAAGATAGCTTATTTTTGGTAGCGTAAGTGCAGTGTAAATAAAGAAACACTATCACAATGGCGTCTTCTACCAACAATATTATTGCAATGTACTGCCCCCAGAGGTCTCAATGACACTGTTTTTTTTTTAATCGCTAATAAATAAAAGCAAATTTTAAAAAGGTTTGATGTGTACGCCACTGGCATAGCAGTAACAAATTTCGTGTAAATGACAGCGTCGCTTCCCCACCCTTAGTAAAATGACAGTGACATTGACAGGCGTTGGCAACGTTGATTGTTTTACTGTTTTCCATTTACTATAAAAATATTTGGATGATAAAGAATGTAAATATAGCACAGAATTTTCGAAATTTCTACGCGATTGGTTTATTTATAAAGATCGTGAAATACCTTAAGTGTAGCTCTAAGGCATATTAGAAAAGGGATTGTGTAACAGCTCCATTTAAAAGATTATAAAGAAGAGAATGGCATCTGTACCGCCACCTCCTTGTGACTGGCAAACGGCGAGGAAGAAAGTCAAAGAACGCGGTCAATATTTACTAGACAGTGGGATATGGAGCGATTGTCGATTTATTGTCGGAACCGAACCTCATCAGCAAGTGTTCGAAGGGCATAAACTGTTCCTTGCCATGTCCAGCCCTGTCTTTGAGGCTATGTTTTATGGTGGCATGGCAGAAAAGGATCCCATCGCCATTCTCGATGTTCAACCTGATGCTTTTCGCGCGTTACTTGAGTATGCGATGGTCCGGAACAATAATTGTCAAGTCGTAATCTAACTATTTTCAGGTATATCTACACGGATCGAATTAATCTATCATCGTTCGATCAAGCCTGTGAGTTATGTTATGGCGCGAAGAAATACATGTTACCACATTTAGTTGAAGAATGTACCAAGTATTTGTGGTCAGATTTGTATCCAAAAAATGCTTGTAGAGCGTACGAGTTTGCTAAGTTATTTGAAGAGCCCATTCTAATGGAAAAGTGTTTAAATGTAAGTGATTATTACCCTTGCATATACTTACGTACCACATTTAATCATGTTGTAGATTATTAGTAATCAGACCCAAGAAGTATTATCAGAGAGTAGCTTCGACGATTGTGAGCTCACAACCATATTGACAGTGTTTGATCAAGATGTACTTAATATTCAGTCAGAGTTGGAGCTCTTTACTGCTGTTAGTAGATATTCAAATCGTTACACTCAAACTTCAGGTGCGAAAGTACCTAGACTAGATGGTATAGGTAATTGTGCTCTTAATTTATTAACTAGTCTTATAATTTTATATTATTTAGAATTAATGTTTGCTTTTTGCTTTATGTTTGTTTAATTACAATACAGAGTGGTTAACAGTAACTAAAAACAGCCAGAATTCTATTTCTTTAATTTTTGTATTTCTCCTGAATTGCAATGTTTAGAGATTTGGTGGTGTTATTGGTGATATGAAAATTGGTAATGCCTTCAATTAAAGAGCCATACATTTTTTTATAAAGTTGATCGTATTTTTCTCACAGAAATTATACAACTTTTACGTCATTTTTGTACTGTTAATTATTTATTTATTTTGGCACCCACAGGTATGTGCCTAATAAAGTAATGTAATTTGTGGCTCACCATTGGAATCTCCGTAAAGGTGAGAGGTACAATGTAGGGGCAAAGTTGCCCCTTTTTGTGACTAAAAAACCCCTTTGAAATTTTTCAAAAATGTAAAAATAACTGAGATATCGGTGAGAAACTGAGAATGTCAAACTTCGTTTTCCATTTTCTTAGCTTAAACGGTCAGAAATGGATGGTTTCGGCTGGCACCTACTATTAGCACTTTTTTCTGAGAATCTGAATCTGTTATCAGCATTTTCATAACACACTAGATGTAAAATCTGCAGGCTACTACTTTCTTATGGACGCCATTTTAGGTTTTTATGAAGGAAAAAAAGAAATTCTTTTGAATGCATCGCCATCATAGCCATGTTGATTCAAAATCTAGTTACCCGTGGATGTTTTGTTGAGAAATGAATGTAAAACATTTGATTTTGAAATTTTTCTTGTAAATAAAAAAATATTTCAAGTTTGTAGTACTTCCTGCCAATTTTCTTATTTTATATGAAACGCCCTACATATTATTTATTTTGAGATTCTACATATAATTGTGTTCGATGTATAATGTCCTATACCTTTTTGACTTACTTTACTTGTTGTGTCAAAAATGACATTGGAACGGCCAAATCATTATTGCCAAGTTTTTTAATATGACAGCTGTTAATATTTGATTGGGGTCCGTTTTCTTTTAGAAGAGGTTTTGCTTTTGTGAACTGTGTTGATGTACAGGGGGTCCAAAAACTAACATTAAAAATTCAATCAAGTTTTTTTAAGACCCTCTACTTTTATACCCGTGTATTATTAAGAACTAAAAGTTTATAAAGTAGTATATTCCAAACGTCTTCAGTTTATACATAATATGTCCTATTTAATATTTTTCCTATTGTAAAAATGCCATTGAGTACATCTAAAATTTTAGAGAAAAGGAAATCTTCGAATAATGCAAGGCAAAGTTTAAATTAGCAAAAAACAATGCCATCTCTTCAACTTAACTAATCCTAAAATAAACATAAAAACAAAAAAATTGAAAGCCGATGATGCTCCATTTTTGATGAAGCAGATCACTGAGGTTCCAAACTGAGCAATACTGGAATGATTAGTTAAAGAGCATAGAAAAGTGCCTTAGATTTTGCTCTTGGATTTTCCAAATAATAAAGCTGTAAAAAAGAAAGAGGAAAATTGTTTTTTTCGGATATCTTCGGAAGTAATAGGAATTTTCTGATTTCTTGTTAAAAACGATTCAGCATTAAAATTCGCAACTTCATTTAACCAACTCTCTATCTCATATAGTTACCAAGGTCGCAATGCATTGAGCACCTGGTATATAATAACAATTTTGACATCTTTTGTTCAAAATGCTGAAATAACATTAATATGCATCTAATGCTCACAACACGAAAACCTTCACAAGATGTGTCCAAGAATAACTTTGTAGGTGCGCAATAAAAGAGTAGGTAATTGTTTCGGCTTTAGTTGGAACACACAGTATATAATGTAATTTAAACATCCTGAATGTTTCCTCGCTGATAACCAATCACTTGATCTCTATACCTATTGTTTTATTAAGTAGAAAAGCTATGGCTGTTTTTCATTACTTTTGTTACCAACCAATGTGCACTTTCACAATGATTTTGTATAGTTGAAACTAGCAAAATTGTCCGCTAACATTCTGAGTTATTAATATTTAAGTAGTGTTCTACCCACTAGGTTGCACATGTTCCCACCGTTCACAGATTTTTTACCAACCTTTTTACACATAGTTTCCCAGATCTCTATACAGAAATATAATCTCATTAATTTCACAAAAAAAGTACTGTTTGAATCGAATCAGAACACTAGACTATACACACTTACCTAACATAAAGACAGAGTCACACCAATCAATTGACAAGGTAAAAAATTATGTATTTCGATTTTAGCAAACGTCTCCCACGAACCAAACGTACGTGATCCTAAGCTGCGAGATGCGCTGATGAAAATAAGATTTTTGACACTCACTCCTCAAGAGTTTGCTGAAGGCCCGGCTGCCTCAAACTTGCTGACCGAATCGGAGAAGTTTGCTATTCTTATGAATATATCTTCACCAACTACTACAGTACCCATGCCACCTGGATTTTCGACTTGTCGAGTTCAGAGATTACACAGCAGGAATCCTCGTCAGTATGAAACACTTTTTGCGGTGAGTATTTTTCAGTTTTACTATTTGCACTATACCCAATTATTGTATACAATTTTGTTTTCCTCTTGCACTTATATTTTCAGGGTTCATCTTCAATGGATACATCTCGTACATCAATGATAAAATTTTACAATCAAAGGGGAAATGTATCAGACTTTACAGAAGAGGGCGGTAGTGAGTTGGCAAAAAAGTTATACTGTACACGCGTTCCGCTTTGCTTAACTGACTGTATGAACACTAGCGTATTGGATTGTGCTGTGACATTTACTTGCGATCGAAATGTTTGTATCTTCGGTATCCAAGTAAGAATTTTTACTTTTTTATTGATAATAAATTAATACATTCTTTAAGGTTCCAGCACAAGACTCTATCGACGATGATCGACAACATAATATTTCATACACCGAATTATTGTATGCACACCTACTTGATGCTGATGGTAGTCGCCTAACTTACACACACTTCACCAGCCGTGTTTCATGCAGATCTCTAATTGATATTTCGTTCAATCGACCAATATACATTCAGAGAAATAAGGTATCTCTTCAGTTGGCCAAATATAAAATAACTATTGTCTTGTAGGTGTACAAGGTAGGTGTTGTATTGCACAAAACAGGACTTTATCCTGTTGGTTCATACCCTAATCAATCAATGTGCAATGGAGTTGTCTTCACCTTTGGTCAAGGTCAAACTGGTGATTCAGTGAGGGATGGATTAATTCGTTCTATCATTTTTTCTATGCCGGTGAATCAGAGTACCAGCAGCAGTCATACATCGTACGGAATTTCAGGAGGACCTTCCGAGCATAACAAATTCCCTTAATTACGATGATAATATTTTATTTATAGGAATAATGTGTTAGACTTTCACGGACAGGGTCTACACTGATGTTTTCTTTCAAGCTCTGGTCTTAAGCGAGGAGAAATTCATTAATAGGATTAATGTTTATTCATATGTATTACAATTTATTTTTAATTGTCTGTGTATTTATGAAATACAACTCATTTTAAAAAAATTCAAACTTGTGTGATTACATAAAAGTCTCGCCAGGAAAGAATGCCGGTCACAGCACACCTAATGCTGGTCTACAATCGTATGGTTTACTATGAAAAAAACGATGGTAGACCGGTATCACGTGTTCTGTGACCGGCATTCTTTCCTGGCGAAACTAATAAAATGATCTGTGAAAGGGCATAGCACAAGATTCTTCCACTGACACCGTGTTTACATTTGTAAAGTTTCCGTGCCAGAAAAAGAAATAGAACATTTTCGGAAGTAGGCGTAAAGAATGGGCCACTTTTGTAGGGGTCATCTAAAAAAGAAATCGGAGGGGGGTTCCAGTCAATGGCGTGGGATATTTACAGTTTTAGAGTACCCACTCATATCAGATTAAAACTTTTATTGCTTACTTTTTCTGTTTAAATATTTATAAGATTACTTACTGGTCATGTGGAAATACTCTGGTAATTTATTGATTGACCTTGCCCAGTTCCATTAGATTTCAGTTTGTCAAAGGCAGGAAAACACAGGTATTTAGGTTTTTACTTTTTTGGGGTGTTTTTGAATAAATAAGCATTGAATAACGGAAGTCGAGAGTTTCACTCAACGATAATTGTCAATTCTAAAGCTAAAAGTAAAATTGTAAAATTGCAGGAAGACAAGAAATAAAATAACTCCTAATAGGCAAATGAAATCTACGATTGACGAACACGACTTGAGATTCAAGGAAGGCCGTGCGATTGTTTGATGTGATGTGACGCTTGTATAGAGGATTGTAATAGTCTCTGCCAAGCCCATCACACAATGAAAAAAATAAGGAATAACAATTTTCAATCTACTGATCTTTATGGATTCCTTATTTCTTCCATTGTGTGATGATGATGAGCTTCAGGGCCTGCTTTCGTATAAAATGCAAAAATTACTTATAGGCAACTAACATTGCACTGGCACGCAAATTCTAACAAGATGTTCGCTCTTTGCGTTATATACCCTTTGCCGTTACTGACAAAGTGATGTTTGGTAAAATGACTTTCCCGAACCCGTGTCAGTTCAGTAGTGAGGATAATGACCATGAACTTTACACAGAGAAATGACGCTACAAATGACATTGTTTGCTGAAAAACTAATTAACGACACTCTTTTTGGAGCACAGCTGGGTAGTTTAAGCAGAAATGCATTTATAAGTATCCCCACACAACCCCACCCAAGCATACTCCCCAACTATTCACAATCATTTCCTCTGCCGTTCTTCTCTATAAAGCACTGTAAACCAAAAGTGTCGGAGGATGTCTAGTTATATGCATCTGAGCAACTCAGAGATACTTGACTCGATTCAGAAAACCATAGCCATAGATCATTAATATTTTATTTAAAAAATAATGAAGAACTAGAACCATTGAATTTATACTAGAACATACAAAAGTTACAAAAATTTTGTTCCTATTTATTGCACTGTTGAGCATTGTAAAGAAAAGCAAGTATAAAAAATTAAATATATCCAAAAATTTTCCGCTTTTCCGCAGTTTTGCTGGCAAATTCTTTCAATATATTCTATACTTTTTGTAATTTCTGCATGCACATGCAGTAGAAGATGTGTTAGTCGCTTTTGAGTGATTTATCTACTCATTCTTAGAGGGGGCGAGGTCCCCCTTGTGTAAAAACTGAGGGGGCGTGACCCATACTTCCGACGTCACTGTCACCCACAAATACAAATGAGAATTGAATTAAACTATTCACGCCTAAGTATTTCACAAAAATCAGGAGGGCCCAACTTTTTGGACTTTAATTTTTTATAGAACCGAGTATTTTCAATCACACCCCCATCCGATATACGCCCATTTATCCCGAAAGTTGGCTAAAATAAATTCTTAATTGCTGCCTATATTGTTTTTCCCTTCGTAGGTATCTACTTTCCTTAAACATTTTCGAGATATTCACAACTAAGTTTTCACATTACCAGGAGATCGTGTCTCGTTTGGACCATCTTTCCGTCCTTTGACGAGCACCCCCGTCCGACACTCCGTTCTGCAGATATTTGCACTGAAAGTTTTGACATCATCAGTATAGATGTGTCTCGTCCAGACGTTCCAATTGCCCTTTTTATGAGTACCCTCTCCCTACACTTCATTTTGAACAATTCGCTTCGACTTCAATAGCACAGATAAAATCAACTGCGCGTGCCCAGAAGAATATGCCCCACCGATCTGAAAGACTGAAAATTATAATAGGTGTCTTCTCCAACCAGCAAAGTAATACGCCTGAAAAATTTACGCAATTTGTCCCAGTATAGATTTTGATTTTGAGTTATCGTGGTAACAAGCTTTTTTCTGAGATGAAAACAATACCTACCTTACCTACCCATATATCCATATGTGAGTGCGGAAAAGTAATAAGCATCTTTTACATAAGCGATGCACTGTGTTGCGAAACTTGCAATTTGTATAAACATGCATAAAACTACCCAATTTCCATTTGGCAAAGGGAGCGGAAATTGAAAAAAAAATACAACAGCACCCGGTGTTCCCAAGCGGTCACCCATCCAAGTACGGACCCGCCCGACGTTCCTAACGTCAAAAGCTGCTTTTTGTTGCACTCCGTCCTTTGTACACTTGTCGGCGATGTGGGCACGGTCGGCGGTCAGAGTAAGAAATAAAGGCAATGTGGACCATAAAAAATCCTGTCGACGTTGTGGGCATTCGGCGAAGTGATCCGGCCCCATAGGAACTATCGAAGGACTATCCGCTTAGTGTAACATCCTGTATATACCTACATGCGCGAATGTCCCAGTAGTTCAGAAGTACAGCACATGTTCAATGAAGTGGTGCGCATGATCGCCCTTAATAAAACGTCATTCAGTTTTACACAAAATATGGTGAATGAAATTGTGCTAAATTCGGTGAAATTATCGTTTTTGTATTTTGTGAGACATTAAGATCGTGAAAAAATGGCGCATAAACGTTCCACTAAGAAATCCGCAACGTCAAAGAAGCCGGTCAAACAATTGAAGAATCGTCAACAAAATGGTAAGTAGATTGTGTATATTTATAAATTAAAATCACTGCCCTTGGGGAGGCATTGAATTATTAATTGTCTAAATATTGTAGCGTTAATTGGAAGCTATTTATTTGTTGATTTCAAATAGGTCTTGATTCCTTGACTCCTTTTGTGAGATGTTTATATATTCAAGTTTGTTATGAAGTGATTACTTAACCTAAATCTTATCAACAAAAACAATTTGTTTTGCAAAGCAGTGTAAATAATAATAATATGATTGATCTATTAAGTATTAGAAATAATGTAAATTCTAATATAAGGTGATGTCGAATTTAGGTCACAATACAAAACAGGCTCAATGTTTGTAACAACCATTGCATAGTACCTATCACAGTTTTAATTACGTGAATGCAATTACCATTACAATGAAATATTAATGTTTTACATTACAACATTAAAAAAAATGTTAATTTTTGCATCCATTTTCACTGAAATCATTGAATAAAATTAATTTTTTATTCAATGCTGAAATGGATTTTGTACAGAAAAACATTTGAGTGTATAGGCAACCCACCTTGCAGTAAAGTAATCTTGACCTGCGTCAACTAGAAATATTGAAGGTAGGTAGTTATACCTACTACAGATCTCCCATAATAATTGTTAAATGACATTCGATTATTAATGTATCATAGCCAAATATACTTCTTATTAATAAAAAAAAATGGCTGCATTTAATTTCTCATACAACATAATACACTGCCACCTAAGTAGTAGATATTATGTTAGTACAGCAATTGAACCAACTTTTTCAACAGCATTGCGGTCACCATTTGTTCCCAAGAGTAAATATTATTTTATTTTTGTTATTAAAAGAATAAAAAATATATTTAAAGAGTATCATATATTTTTAGTGCATTTTCTCGCGCATTTTTTAAGAATTAAAAAAAA